GAGTCTTTTGTCCCCTTTGGAAACTGATCTTTGTTCATCAAGTGTCAGAGTGGAGAGTCTTTCATTTCCCTCTGTCTTCATCTCTGGTTCAGATTTGGCAGAATATTCTTCATTTGAGGTTACATTGCTGACTTCACTCTCTTCACTCTCTTTAGACCTCAGAGAACCTGTTCCTTGTGATTTACATTCTTCCAGGTCGGGAACTTTGTCAAAATCGAAAACCTTGCCTTCCCTCTTTGAAGTAATTAAGCGCTTCTCATTCACCCTGTCCCCAATGGTGTTATCATTTGCATCTGAACCTGTTCTTCTTCGTGTAATCGTTTCTTCAGCAGCCACAGCTTCCTTGGCACCTGAAAATGATGAGTTTGTCTTACAGGTAAATTTTGGAGAAATTGGAGACAATATTGGGGACTGCGGTATACTTTCATCATTATCTAAAATCTTTATTGCCACTTTATTGACTGGAAGCACCTCTGTATCTGATACTCTCTGTATGGCTATAGCTGTGTCAGACCTTTCCAAGTTGGCCATTCGTGCCAGCTTTGGTTTGGAATGGTCAACAGCTTCATCTAAGGCTGGTTTGCTTAAATCAAAGACTCTGTAATCTGAAGGCTTCTGTGCGACCTCTATCAAATTGTTAGTCTGAGTTGTGAATGGGGATATAGGAGATTCTTGAAAAACAGGATTAATAATAGTATGTCCATCTGCTGCAATCACCCATTCACTCTCGTATGACCTAACTCGATCATCATAAATAGCAGATTCTCTATGGCTTTTGCTCTCCGTATCTGATACTCCAGACTTTAGGACAGTCTGTGGACCATGCACCTCCTCAATATTTTTCTGTTTGCTCTGAACACTACCATCTGCTCTCTTTGACCTCACTGCTGGATGAATCACTCTTGCTGGCTTGCTGGAACTTTTAGTATCACTTACCTTTTCTGCCTTAGCTTCACCCAAAGCTCCATTATCAATTTTATTTACATTTGTCAACTCTTTTGAAGGTACCCATCCTTCATTATCTGTCTTTGAGTCTTTCAATTCTTGATCAGTTGTTATGGGATGTATCTCCTCTTCCTCTATGTGAGTGTAATCATCTGTTAATGGGGCACCTCCTGTGCACCTCAAAGGAACTTTGCTCTCCGCATTCTTGTTCTTCCATTCAACATTTTCATCACTGGTGTCAGAGTCAACAGGAGCTTTGGGCTGTTCTTCTTCTATCAGAACACTGTCTTCTGCCACAGTGAATCCCTCTGATATCTTCCTAAATTCTGATACAACAAGAGGTTTATCCTTCTCTTCCTTCTGAATTTTGCTATCCTGTGCTGCATAATAATCAGCCATCTTGAATACACTCCCTTTACCCATATGCTCTTCCCATCGGCCATCCTTGCCACTTTTAATTTCCTTAGATGGAATGACTGCAAATACACTCATAGCAACTTGTGGGTGTTCAATTCCTATTTGATCTGCCATATCTATTTTTGGACAATAAATTACAGGTCTACCATCAAAGATGTAATTTTCACTTGGTGGAAGGAATACCTCATCCTCTAGGTCAGAAACTCCACTTCTACTTGAGTGCCGGCTTGGTCTGTCTGAATTGCTACATGTTTCCCGGGCATTTGGACTTGATTTGTCACTTACATCACTCTTTGATTTATTAGACTTTCTGCTCTTTTCTGCCTCAGAAGCAGGAACTGGCTGACTGTTACTCTCCTTCTCCTCTGCACCAGATATGGAGGTCTTCTCTGACTGATGGCTCTGCTTTATTGCATCATGAAACACATGTTTTGTTGTAGAATCCTTTGGTGAATCATTTTCTTGGCTAGGAACTTTTTCAGCTGCACTGACATCTCTAGGGATCTCTTCAGACTGACTGGTGGATGATGTTAGTGTAGAACCTCGGGATTTGTATCCCACTGAAGACTGTTTTCTTTCGACTGAACCAGTAGGTGAACTTCCATTCATTTCTTCATCACCTTTCAGCTCTGTTGTGTCTACACTGTTCATCACATCTGACAATCCCTCCTTTTCCTCCAATATACCCTCAGTTACAATGTCACAAGTCTGGTCAGCTCCTGATGATACTGAAGCTGTAACAGCAGACCTTTTATCTTCATGTTCTACTCCTTCACCACTGCTGATGCTAATTCTACTGTTCATTCCAATGTGACTTGTCGGAGACTTGCATGGCTCCCCACTTTCCTTCCCTTTGTCAGGGTCCCCTGTCTTGCTTATATCCTCATATTCTGAACATTCCTGATGGCTCTCTGGGAGCTCCATCTGGTCTTCCTGTGATCCTTGTGACTGAATCTTATTATTCTGTTCCTCAGCAGACACCTTTGATATAACTGTATCTTCTGATGAAATAGACTCACTGGTCTTTCTCTTTGATGCTTCACTTTCATCAGGCAAGTATTTGGCAGACTTTTGATCAAATTTCTCTACTGTGCTAGCTTTATCATAATCCATTGAGAGTTTCTGCAACCTATTGCAATAATCTACAATATCTGTTGATATAGAGGTCTTCTCCGCATGTCTCATCAGATTTTGTTGAGTCAATTTTTCTCCTCCAGCATTTGGAGAGAATTCATCCCTTCCAGACATATCATCTACAGCTGCTGCAGTCTCATAATGTGTACCTTTAAGATATGTATTAGGAATTCCAACTGAATCTAGATCTAGATGAGATGATTCCGAGCCATATCTCAAGTATCCATTGTCTTGATAAATGCCATCAGAGACACTTCCTCTTGCAGATCCTTCCTTAGAGACAGGACCACTTTCCACAAGGGTAATATCACCAGCATTGGAAGAGAGTGTTTCCATGTCATCTGAGAGGGTATCCGTACCAGGGAACTTATCTGTGTCAGTGAGATCAAGACTATCTTTTGATTTACTTAAGCAAACTCCCCTGTGCTCACCTGGCCCACTATCTTCGACCATGGCTCCCTCTGGTACAAGAGGTTCCTTCAAACTTGAAAAACCTGACTCTGCTGCAGATTCTACTGGACTGACCAGTGACTTGCTAAGGGATGAATTTATGCTGCTCACATGTTCATGCATTGCTATATCCACACCAGAATCAAACAAGGAGCTAGGGTAACTTTCTCTTTCATCTTCCTGAGTAGAAGCTCCTGCTGCCATGGCATTCACTTCAATATTCTCCTCCCCATGGACTGCATCCATATTAGTGCACTTTTCAACATCAACAGTATCAAACTCAGACCCTTTCTCAAAGATGGCTTCAGATCTTATTTCATCTCTTGATTCTAACAGTGTTCCACTCATAAGAGACATTGCAGCCATTCGCTCTTGCCTGATCAACTCCCGTTTTGCAGCTAAAGCCTTTTCTGAATCTATTGGTGCACTAGTCAGTTCTATGACCAATCCTAAATCATCATTCAGGCTATCTGGCTGTGATGAAAGCATTCTGTATGGAAGTGATTCAAATGAACTCTCACTTGTGGTGCTGGATTTTGTATTCAATTTGTGTATATCTTTGAGACATCTTGGTTTTTGTGAACTATCATCATCACTCACTTCTTCAACCTGGCCTTTCTCTTGGACCTCTAAATGATTGCCATCCTCATTTTCTTCGACTTCACTAATAAGAGAAAGTTTATGATTTTTCTTTTCATTAACAGCTATGTTTTCCTGGGTACTGTCTAAAATAATGGGTATATCAGAATACTTGTTATCATTATTTGCTAATGACTGATTAATATCTTTGACTACATATGAATCTATGTTCTCAACTGAAATGGAGTCAATATCAGCAGAATATACAGTAACTGGACTTGAAACTTTTTCCTCTTTTTCAAGTGATTCAGTGATCAGTGAACTCTCTTTTGAAATTAGTGATTCATCAGCAATTTTGTTTACTTCAACTGACTCCTTTTCTCTTACCCCACTTTCAGTTTTGAAGTCAATTGGCTTCTCTGAGATATCTTCTTTTGTCTGGGAATCTTCCATTACACCATTTTTGTGGATTTGGAGCATTTCTAGCATCTTCTCATTAGATCTACTAGGTTCATCAAGGTTTCCATTTCCAATAAATGTTTCAGAAATGTTGATGACTGCCTCACTCTTTACAATAAGGGAGCCTGGCAATTCCTCCTTTTCCAGCCAGGCTCTCTCTTGAATGCTCTGGTCCTCAAACCTTGTCACACTTCTGAATTCATCATCATTATTTGGAATATCAATACAACTTTCACGCTTCATAGTAGGTGGCAAAAGTTCTTCACTCTTCACTAACTTCTTTTCACTTCTTCCTGAGGATTTACTCCCACTTTTCCCACTTACTGGAGAGAGAACTGGAGACTGATCTTCTTCTACTGATTTATCAGGACTTTCTTCTTGTTTTGCAAAGTATTTACTTACTTCTTCCTCACTGAAGCCCTGTACTGAAGCCTTCTTTGTATCAATAACAGACACAAGACCTTCATCACAGCCTCCAATAATTTCAGTGACTAACTTTTCATCATCTTCAAAGCTTATGGATATACTGATCTGTTGCACATCTTGTGTCTTGGTAACTTCATATTGGTCATTCAGAACCCTGGATGTGGTTGTATGAATGACCTTGTCTCTGACATTCACATTAACACCTTGACTGCCATTATGGGTATCTGCCTCAATGCTTCTATCACCATTACCTTTAGCCTTTGGAATAAGGTGTTGATATTCAGAACTGCCATGTTTTACAAGATAGTTTTCAACAATGTTTGCAAGATTTTCTTTTATTATATTTGTAGCTCTACTTAGGTCAGCTTCACTGTTAATTCTCACAGGGTGTCTCTTAGGTTCTTGTGTAACAACTGTTTTTTCTTTAGTGTCAGAGAATGAGAATTTACATGGTGGCCCATCATCTTCACTGGTTGAACTAAAACTTTTCTTGGCCCATTCTCTGCGTTCTTGAGCAGAAGAAACTGCTCTCTGATAATACTCAGCAGCCTCTTTCACAATCTCCTGCTCAGCTTTGCCAGGCGCTGAATACTGTATGTTCTGGCAAATAACCTTCCCAGGGATACACCGATATGGATAAGTACACTCCGATGAACCCCTCCGAACTTTCAGTAGTGTCTCACTCCTTCTGGAAAACCCAGCAGGTCCATTCATGCATCTTAAGCTACCATGTTGATAGACATTGCCTGCATCCACCACTTTTGTTTTCTCATCAGATTCCTGCCATAAATCTTCCATAGGATTAGACACAATGGAACAGGGCTTTCTGTACTGTTTGCCTTCCAGTTGGTTGAGGACTCCCCGGACAGACAGTGGCTGTCCTGACACAACTTGCTGACCAGACACTGCCCATCCTCTAGGATAGAAATTATAAACATTGCAAGATAGATCATCAGTGTCAGATGTTGGATAATCACTGACACTGTCATACGATGACTGAGGGTCGAGGCTAGATGCCCGTTTGTCACTATCACTAGATGATTGAGGGTGAAGAGTGGTGGATGTGTCCGTGGCACTTTCTGCTGATGACTGCTGACGCAATACAGCAGAAAGGGTTGGAGGATGCAGCGAGATACCACAAGCTCCCATGGGATCACCTTCTTTGACTGATAACTGACCCACTGAAAAGAAAAGAAAAAATATAGATAAAACAAGTTTTCCTTCTTTAAAAGAGGTAGATATGCAAAAATAATATGTAATTCTACAATAAAAATAAGCTACATAATAATTCCATATTTTTTACAGCCACAATTACAATAATTTGACGTAAAACATAAATGAAAGTAAAAATTTAAACCAACAATAGTAAAAAAAAAATAAAAAGCTAATTGCACCTACAATGATATAGCATTTCTGAAATTTTATATTCTAATTCAGCACAATATCAATCATATAGAAAAAATCTAAAACATATACAATATAATGTTATACATAATGGCATCATGAAAAAAAAACTGAAATTGTTATTTCTTGTTGTTTACTATTTACTTTAACATGCAAGTTAAAATACTTTTTTCATCCAACAGTCATCAGTATATCAATGATTACTAAATAATAAACAATAGTCCTTTTATAAACTCACTAACAATTTTCTCCTTTTCAGCTCTTAAACAAATCCTGAATGAACATATCACAAGATACAGTTGAACTGATTACATAAAAAGAAATATTCAAGAACAATTTCCATGCACTCAAAGCACATAAAATTTCAAGAAAACTTTTAGAAATTTAGATAGCATGTGTAATAAAAAAAGAGGAAAAACATTAAAAAAATAAAAAAATAGAAAATAAAATGTTCATCAAATTTTTCAAAGATATTATAGAAACAGTGTGATACCTGATAATCTAGAAGAGTTGTTGATAGCCTATATATCCCTAGCACAACAAATTATTGTCACAGTGATAAACTGTGGTAAGCAAGACACTACAACTATGACTGGTTAAATAGCCCAGTATTGAGCAGAAAAGCTTATCCTAACCTGCAGCTTCTTTACTGTGACCAGTCAGAATTTGGCATTTTTTTACTGATGAGAAAATTGGTTGAAAAAAGTGATAAATGGATATATTTCAGAATTCACTAATGCAATGAATTTTTAACCACATTTTTTTTGTCTAACAATCTTAAATGGAATAAAATAAATGAAAATCATAATAATTTGACAATGAACACTTTTTTCAGGCCTTAATCTTAGTCAATTAAAAGCATTCTGATTTCACAAACATTAAGAAAATTATTGTTTCTGATGGTTGCTGTTACTCAACTTCAATAGTCTTTAAATAACAATCAGATTACAAAAACATGTTAACTACACATAGCTACAAAAATAATATAATTTGAAAAGATACACAAGATATATGTCAAAAAGATATGGAAACATTGGGCCTGACTGACTAAATCATGGTAACATACATCAATTGTATAAAGGATCATAAACAAACACCTCCATACTGGTTTTCATTATCAATATTCCACTGGCTTTTCAATACTAGCTATTTGGACAACAGAAATAAGTAATCAACCCATTGATGCCCGAATGGCATGTACATACATCCTATATCCACTGTAATTTTAGTTTATTAATTTTGTTTACACAAATGACCAAGACGTCAATTACTGGTGCTCCCTGGTTACCCTTTTCCTTGTTTTCTTTTTTTAAACAATACTGCTATTAGTATTCTAATAATAGTACAATAATCATAGTGCCAATAATGATAAGAACATTACCAATATCAACAGCATTATCAAAAAAATAATAAAATCTAAATGATTCAAGCACTGGGATTATCTGATAAGGTCACATATGGCCTGCTTATCAACTCCTTGGTAAGTCAGCATTTGTGGCTATTTGTGTAAACATAATTCACACAACAAAACCACAGTGGATAGTACATGCAGCCAGCACCAATGGGTTAATCTGCTGCATTTCATTTCTTTTTTATATTCCTTAATGTTATATCTAATATCTGTCATAAGCTTACATAGTCAGTCAAGCCCATGAAACAAATCTAAAGTGCTAAGACTGATAATAGAAAATGTTGTATCAAAAGGATGCATCTTTAAGATGTATCTGCTCTTACAAATACTGTGGCACAAGTTACTTACACCTGCAGTATATGAAAATGATATCCCACAGATGGCTTTCACACTCACCTCATGTCCTTGTGTCCACGTATACAATTAAGCAAGCACACACAGAAGGCATCATACGCACTCAAATGCACACACGCACACATACACACACACACACACACACACACACACATACACACACACACACACACACACACACACACACACACACACACACACACACACACACACACACACACACACACACACACACACACACACACACACACATATGGATGCACTCATGTAAGCCAACTCACATGTGCGCACGCGCGCGCACGCGACACACACACACACACACACACACACACACACACACACACACACACACACACACACACACACACACACACACACACACACACACACACACACACTAATCAATATACTCACAAAAGAAGTGAAATATCAATAAACATAACATGACAGTAAGAGCAAAACCACACCTACGAAGATGCATCCTTCAACAAACTGTTAAAAAAATAATAAGTAATGTTAATATTTAAGTTCCAAATAGTGATAAAAAAATAAAAAATAAATAGAGAGAGAGAGAGAGAACGCAAAAACAAACTCAAAGAACTTACACCCACACCCAGACCCCTGCACTCCCGTCCCTCAGCACCAAGGATCTGATAGGGAGTTTTTCCTGGAGTCCAAGGGATCTATTGAGACAGGCATGTGATGACCAAACAAAAATTTTATATAATAAAAAAAAGCCCAATGAGGAGGAGGAAGGGGATGAGGCAGAGGGAGAAAGGGGAGAGATATACAGGGAAGAGAAATAGATCAGTGCAGAAAAAGAAAGGAGAAAATAGGGAGAAAAAGGGAAATAGTAGTAGTATAAGGTATAAAAACAACTTTTATGTAGAGAAACAATAAAAAAAACATAATGAATACACAAAAAGTCAAGAAAATCACATTAGAAAACCTGGAAGAGAAAATGTAAACACTGAAATACATTCAATGGCATGCTATCTAAAGTAAACATAAAAGGCCATCCATGTAGGAAAAATACTGATGTAACATCTAGGCCAACAACAAGAGCACTATTTAACACTTTTATGCAATTGCTACACTATACTGCTACATCTGCACACACTTAATAAGAAAGCATGACATTATCATTTATTGATCATTTAATCTAATTATTTACTGAGCAATAAAAACAGGAAAATATGACACTCATGAGACAGAAAACAAGCTTACTAATAACATGGTAAATGAGGTAACAAGTATGCTGCATAAGGCATAATTAAAGCATTCTATAATTATGATATGAATAGCTAAAATAGTGCAGGCCTATTAAAACCAAAATCATTATAAATCAAAAGTGAAATATTAAATAAACAACATAACTGAAAAATAATCTTGCTGGAAGGTGTTGCCAACATCACAAAAATGACATACAACTCTAGTACTAATCCACTAACTTTGACATCTTATGTCCTTTAAATATCACATTAGAAAGAGAAAACCCATCTCTCAGTAGAATTAAGGACATATTTTAGTAACCAAACATGATAAATTCTTGGAAAGAGGAAAACCAAAGACCCAAATTACCCCTATATTAGTTGAACATTGTCACTTACCAATCACTGACACTTTTCTTATCAATATGATCTTGTGGTAACTAAATTTCTTCTGACCCATTAAGCCATACCTACCAATACATGCCACATAACATAAAATCTCAAGGATGAGATGAAACACAGCAAGAAAGGAAAACAAAACCTGATATTTCAAGGAAGACTAGACTCCTTATCAAATGATTAGGATTCATTCATTTCAGTTCTATCAACTGATGAGCAATTTAGCCTGCCTCGAAACTTCACAATCTGTTGTTCCCGTGTTTCATTTTATCTCTGAGCACATGTTACTATGTTTATATAATTGTTCATGAAGTTTCAAGTATTACATAAACTTTCACTGCATTGTAATATACTATCAACTATTACTGCAGTGAAGAGAGAATATTAACAAGTGGAAATCCACTTCTGGACTTATTTTCTGAATGAGAACCCACTGAAGCTGAAATTATCCTCACTACCATATTTTTTCCTAAATCTTAGCCTCTTGTAATAATTCCTTATCTATATTCAGTGCCTATGCCAACATTCCTATCTAAATGGAAGTGTCTCATAAATAGGGCTAAATCAATAAAAAAGTGTGGACCAGTTCAAAGTTTTGGGCAACTCAAAGTCAAAAATTTCTCTCTACAATAAAGTCATAAATCAACTACACAGTTACATTATTCCATTTATAGAGGTAGAACTACATCAACTACTTACCTTTTCTATTTTCTTGAAGATTTCAAATTCCCCATTATCTACATTCAAATATTACAGTAAACAATATCACCAAATCATCAAGAGTTTTAAGTCAATTCAAGAGTAACTTCACATAATTGAGACCATAATGGGAATCTAAGATAAAACCAAATAGCTACTGGCTAATATAATAATAATACAGGGATTTAAAACCAATACAATCCAAAACTATTTTACTGACTGCCATTCATCTTTAACATCTGACAAAAATAATATGAAAAGTAAGTATCAACTATCACTGTAAACAGCAAACTATTCTGGAATATTCCATATCACAATGGATTAATATTATAACTTCATATGTTGTTATTCTAAATAATCATCACTGTTGGCCCTAAATAAAACTACTAAATTTATCAGTTTCAATATTGTTAATTCCACTTAATCTTTCATGTTTCTGCATTCATCTTAAACTTCTCTAATCTATAATCATTTAATGAATAGAAAATAACATTTGGAGTTTATGTAATACTTGTAACCTCTCAATTTGGCTTTTTTGTCTTTAAAATAACAGAGATCCCATCTATTCACTAACCACTATTGCATGCATGAAACCTGCCTCTATTCAAATTGACGACAACTTCCAAAAGTAGAAAAAAAAAAATAAAGAAAAGAAAAAAAAGACTAAGCAGCAAATAAAAAAGGTCAAAAAAGAAAAAGAAAATCCTGAGTTCTTTACAGTACTATACCATTAAAGTTCGTGGGAGACACAGAACGAGCTAACTCCATCTGTGTGCAAGTAGCTCTCTCTGTGGTCCATGGTCCTGGAGTCACACTCTCTGGGATGCTTAGTGGGTCATCAAAGGTTGAGGGTTGACCCACCAAGTCAACAGCTGAAAGACAAAAGAACAATAAATAAAATCTCAGATATGACTAAACACTGAAACTGAGGTAGTTTCTATGACCATAGAAAAAGTATACTCTAATCAGCAAATTTGTTGGTTAATTTGTAAAAGATTCAAAATGATTAAAGGAGAAGCCTTAATATCAAAAGCATAACTGATGGAATAACATCCCAAAGGTAATAAGATGAAAATTGTTTATTTTCTGATGTTGAAGGTCCTAAAGGACATGATTATATCAATACATAAAAAACATCATTACCAGCAATCACATAAACCACTTTCAACTTACTAATAATCTTTGTAATAAGAAAGTCATCATCAACAATGAGAGCATTATTGAAGAAGGCTTGAATCATGGCAAGCAGCTGTGGTGGGGTTGTTGTTACGATGACTCCAAACACATCTCTGGCCTTCCAAGCATAGGGCTGGGATAACTGTTCTACCTATATGGGAGACAAAGTGGCATCAGAGTAAAGTAGACAATATTAGAAAATATCAATAAGCAAAAAAGAGAGAAAAATGTAATTGGCAGTCCTTTAGAAACTGATATCAAAAGAAAAGGGAAAGAGAAAGTGGGGGGGGAGAGGAGAGGAGAGGAGAGGAGAGGAGAAGCGAGGAGAGAAGAGGAGAGGAAAGGAGGGGAGGAGGAGAGGAGAGAAGAGGAGGAGAAGAGAGGAGGAGAGAGAGAGGAGGAGAGGAGGAGGAGGAGAGGAGGAGGAGGAGGAGAAGTGGAGGAGAGGAGGAGGAGAGGAAGAAGAAGAGGATGAGGAGACAGAAAAGGAGGAGGAGGAGGAGAAGAAGGAAAGTGATAAGGAAAAAACAAAAAAACATTCTAACCATCACATAACAGTCTAGCAGCTCATTATCTTCTTGCTCTCGGTATGAGGCCTCAAGGAGGACTGTGATTGTTGTCGAAACTTCAGATTTTGCACTCGGGAATCCATTCTCGCTTGCCTGCTGGGCTGATTCTCTTGGGTGGCTGTTACTTGGATGATCTGCTGCCATCATGAAGAGGGTCCATCGCTTCAGGTCCACTCGTTGCTGAAATATGATGTGTACAGAGGTAGTTATGTAAAATGTAAAAGAGACTCTTGACCTGAGCATGCATTTCTCCACTAATAATTTCCTAGCAAAACACTGTAGTGGAAAAAACATATATATAAAAATATATAAAGTGAACTACAAAAATGCTGGTTCTTCTATCCTCACCTTGGGAGCTATGACAACTGCCTGCTTGTTGTTGTCCCTCCACAGAAGTTGTCCTATCGATCCTTCATTGCTGTTTTGGCAGAAGATTGATGTGCAGCTTGGCTCATTCACTTTGATAATACCTGAATGGAAGATTAACTACGTTTGAATAAATAAACAATTGCACAAATATTCTCTACAAACAATAACTACACATAGTTCAAAAATAATAATCTACAAACAACAAAGTTTCTAATCCAAAAAAATTACATAAACCTTTCCAAATTATAGGCAAACTGGCTCACCCGAATCTGATGCTAGAATGTCCTGAACCAGCAGAGAAGAGTGAGGCTGGGAGAGTGCCTTTGCCATGAGCATCACCGCCTCACTGTGCCGCCAGCCTCGCAGCATGCGGCACAGCAATCCGCACATTGACAGCATCTTGGCGTGTGACTTCTGTCACTTGTCCAATATCTTTTTTTTATGCATCCATTAATATAGCTTGTCCACTGTGGATGGAAAATATATTAATCAACAGATTTTCCTTATATTCTGAATATCAATTTCCTACACTTACTTTAGGCTACACAGATACCTAAATATATTCACATATATACCAAATTTGGAAATTTGGAAAAAAGTTGTATCTAATTAAATGCATAATGTGTAGTAAAAGTTATCTGTTTTATCCACTTACCTTTTTGAATATACAGATTAGTGTACATCTCTATAACTATCACATCTAAACCTGCACCTATAATATCATTAAGTTTCTCAAGTTTGTCTTTGCAACACTTACTTTTCCATTTCATTATCAGTTCAAATTACCAGAACAAATTGAAACCAGAAACAAATTTTCGAATTTATAAAAATCTAGATAACATGCCTAGAGTGTCAGTTCTAGATACAGCAAATATGTACCTGTTTTTTCAAAATTATGTTTAAAATATCATATACACAATAAGAGTTAAAAGTACAAAAATAACTACTGAGGAGTCTGGTTAATTTAGCATATTGGATTTCTTTGTTAGAATGCCTTTGAAGAGAGTCATCTGCAGAATGCCAAACACACAACAGAGGAATACAAAGTTTAACAATAATTATTTTACCAGTTGGTATGAATTTATTGTTAGAACAACACAGACGTCACTAAAAGAGAAAAAAAATGGTATTTCCATTACTTTGCACTCTTCCTAGGAAGCTGAGCCACATGGATAATGCCGCAACCAGCATAATTCAGTTAACAGTCTTAGAAACCTTACCAAGTCCTATTACTAGGGGGTAGGCAGGCTCCCCTAAATAACCCCTCTGAATTTAATGGATGATGTCTTACAGCAAATGATGGTGATATAATCAACGTAAGTCTTCCCCTTAGAAGAGCACCTAAACTGAAAATGTGTGACTTTTCTATTGCCAAAATGGCAGACATCCTCTAAGAAATTGTAAAGCATTTAATCCTAATATCAAAACATTTGATCCTCATACTAATATAAATCTAAATATCAAACCATCAATAAAGGCCCTATATCACCAAGCAATTTATCATATTAAGCTCTTCAAAAAATCCCCATATTTTTAATGAAAACTGATTTCAGATGTAAATAAGTACACAATACATATACTCTTCCAATGATGGAAAAAAATGCAAATACAGCAGACAAAATATACAGAAACCCTAAGGAGAAAAATAGCCGGTCTGAAGCCTAAGAAGTACTGGCTATCATCTTGTTACAGGAGGCAAAAGCTTGCTTCTCTTTACATTATCATCCTTCCCATTACAATGGCCTAACTGAACCAACTCATACCACATCATCATTAGTAGAAAAAAAACATGTATTTTGCACTAACAAATACATCACCATCCTTAAAATTAATGTAAATGCTAATTTCTTTCTACCAATGTGGACAAAAAATGTTCGCAGGTACAGGAAGCCTTACAGCTTTTCATTCTTTCTGTAAGAGCTGTTTGAGCAATGATTTTTTAAGTAACTACCAGAGCTGATATGATGAAAAGTATAACAAAATACTCCTTGACATTACTAATTTAAAATAAAGATACAAAAACCTCAACCAAACTAATTCTGTACACGATACAACTTGCAGACATGGAGAAAATAAATACTAAAATGATCTGAATAACCACACATACGACCACGAAAAAATTCTCTTTAAAGCTTAACCAACCTAACTTAAAAAAAAAAAAAAAAATCATGAACCTGTAACATCATCTTCAGTATCATTTAATGCAAAGAACCCCAAAACTGGCAACCAGCTTTCCAGATAAGTGACTGCTCTGGACTCTAACTGCTATTGATTTAAACCATCAACTATCACGTCACATGCAAGGCTAACCTCACAAATTTGCATGTGTGGAAACCTGGTTCTGAAAAAGAGGCTATAAATGCATAATCCTCACTAGGTGACCATGAATTATGGAAAACATTCATCTGTAGAAAAATTTCATACACCAAGAAAATGGAAGTGAAGATTAAAGATCTGATAACATCACAATAAAATAACAATGTTCTCCTAACTAACCAATGCAAATCTTGGGCACATGTAGTATCAGAGACTTCAAGTGAATACTATACAAAAACCTAAAATAACTCTAATCATGATTTTTCCATGTACCAGGTTATAGCAATAATAATAATAATAATAATAATAATAATAATAATAATAATAATAATAATAATAATAATAATAATAATAATAATAATAATAATAATAATAATAATAATAATAATAATAATAATAATAATAATAATAATAATAACAATAATAATAACAATAACAATAACAATAAAACAATAAACAAAAGCAATAATATAAATAATAACAATAATAATGATATAAATAATCATAATAATAATCATAATAATAATGATGCAAATATCAATAATCATAACAATAATAACAATAATAATTATGATAATAATAATAATAATAATAATAATAATAATAATAATAATAATAATAATAATAATAATAATAATAATAATAATAATAAATAATAATATAAATAATAATAATAACAATAATCATAATAACAATAATAACATAATAATAATATAACAATATCATCATCATCATCATCAATCACCGTCATCATCACCGTCACCGTCACCGTTCACCGTCATCACCGTCAGTCAGTCATAGTAATAGTATAGTAATAGTAATAGTAATAGTAATAGTAATAATAATAATAATAATAATAATAATAATAATAATAATAATAATAATAATAATAATAATAATAATAACAACAACAGCAACAAGAAAAAAATAAAAATAAAATAAATAATAATAATAATGTAAATAATAATAACAAAAATAATATAAGGAACAATAAATCTATAGTATCAAAAACAACAATGATAATTATTAATAACTATCATAACAATGAATAATAATAACAATAACAATAACAATGACAATGACAATGACAATGACAATGACATAATGATAACATAACAATGATAACATGATAATGATAATGATAATGATAATGATAATGATAATGATAATATAATAAATAATTAATAATAATAATAATAATAATAATAATAATAATAATAATAATAATAATAATAAATAATAATAATAACAATTAATGAAAAAAAAAAAATAATAATAATAATAATAATAATAATAATAATAATAATAATAATAATAATAATAATAATAATAATAATAATAATAATAATAATAATAATAATAATAATAATAATAATAATAATAATAATTATTATTATTATTATTATTATTATATAATAATAATATAATAATAATAATAATAATAATAATAATAATAATAATAATAATAATAATAATAATAATAATAACAATAACAATAACAATAACAACAATAACAATAACAATTAAAAATAATAATAATAATAATAATAATAATAATAATAATAATAATAATAATAATAATAATAATAATAATAATAATAATAATAATAATAATAATAATAAAATAATATTAATTACATTAAAATAATAATAATAATAATAATAATAATAATAATAATAATAATAATAATAATAATAATAATAATAATGATAAATAATGATAATGATAAATAAATAATGATAATGATAATGATAATAAATAATAATAATAATAATAATAATAATAACAACAAAAAGATTTATTATAACAATAATAATAATAAAATAATTAATAACAAAAATAAAATACAAAAAATCATAAAAATAATAAAAATAATATCAACAATAATAACAATGAAAAAAGATGATATTGGTGATGATTGATATTGATAAAATGATAATTATAATAACAATAACAATAACAATAATAACAATAACAATAACAATAACGATGACGATAACGATAACGATAACGATGACGATGACGATGACGATGACGATGACGATAATGATAATATTAATATTAATATTAATAATAATAATAATAATAATAATAATAATAATAATAATAAGAATAAGAATAAGAAGAAGAAGAAGAAGAAGAAGAAGAATAACAATAATAACAATAATAATAATAATAATAATAATAAAAATAATAATAATAATAATAATAATAATAATAATAATAATAATAATAATAATAATAATAATAATAATAATAATAATAATAATAAAAATAAAAATAATAACAACAACACAATGATATCAATAATCATGATAACAATAAAAATGATAATGATATAGACAGTGATAACAATAATAATGATGATACTGATAATAATGATTACTATAATAAAAATAATAATGATAACAACAAAATCAAGAAAAAAATATATATATTATCTTTATTATTATCATATCTATGATTATGATTATCCTTTATATCATTATTATTGCTATTTCTATGTCTATGAATATAATTATTATTTTCTTTATCAAAATTATCACTGCATTGATCATTATTATAACAACAATACTAATCATTATCATCATTATTACCATTATCATTACTATTACTATTGTGATCATAATAATAATCATAACTGCTACCATTATGACTATCATCATTATTATAATAATTATTATTATTATTATCATTACTATTATCATTATCATAATTACTTTTATTCTTATTATCATTATTATTATAATTATCATTATCATCATTATTATTATCATTATCAATGAAATTTTCATTATCATTATCACTATCATTATTATCATCATTACTGTAATCACTTTTATTATTGTTATTATTATTACTGTAATCCTTCTTAATATTATCATTACTATTCGTATTAATTACATTACCTTTATAACTATCATTATCATTATCATTAAAAATTTTGTTATACACCAGTAAATATCTTAAATGTTAATAAACAGAGAGATCTAAAATATAAGAAATATTTTTCTGACAAATTATGCAGGCCAACAATGCACCACCACCACAGTGACCCTCACACCCCATACACTGTATTGATCCATGCACTTAAAGGGAGGTTTTGACCTTGGCAGAGGAAGGTCAAGAATTTACATGTGTGATGGTTCA